GATCCACCTGCCTAGGCCTCCCAAAGTGTTGAGATTACAGGTTTGGGCCACTGCGCCCAACCCTCTGTTTCCTTTTTTATCCTTGGGCTGGTGTTTAAAACAGAACTTAGACATTATAATTTTGTCTGTAAACTGTGAATCTGTAATAGATATGGTAGCTGTGGGCTCCCACTAATAAGTGAGAATGTGGTATTTGGTTTTCTGTTCCTGTAGTTTGCTAAGGATAATGGCCTCCAGCTCCATCCATGTTCCTGCAAAAGACATGATCTTATTCTCTTTGATAGCTGCTCTGTATATGTGTGTGGTGTACATGGACTTTTCTTTATCCAGTCCACCACTGATGAGCATTTAGGCTGAGTCTGTGTCTTTGCCATTGTGAATAGTGCTGCATGAACATTCACATGCATATTAGAATGATTTATGTTTCTTTGGGTATATACCCAGTAATGGAATTGCTGGGTCAAAATGTAGTTCTTTTTAGCTCTTTGAGGAATCACCACTCTGCTTTCCACAATGGTTGAACTAATTTACACTCCCACCAACAGTGTGTAAGTGTTCCCTTTACTCTGCTACCTTTTTTTAACTTTTTAATAGTAGTCATTCTGACTGGTGTGAGATGGTATCTCATTACGGTTTTGATTTGCATTTCTGTAATTATCAATGATGTTGGGCTTTTTTTCATTTGCATGTTGGCTGGCTGTATGTTTTCTTTTGAAAAGTGTGTGTTCATGTTTTTTGCCCACTTCTTAATGTTTTTCTTAAAAAAATTGTTCAAGTTCTTTACAGATGTGTGATATTAGACCTTTGTCTGATGTGTAGTTTTCATCTATTTTCTCCCATTCTGTAGAATGTCTATTTACTCTGCTGATAGTTTCTTTTGCTGTGCAGAAGCTCTTAAGTTTAGTGAGATCCCATTTGTCAATTTTTGCTTTTGTTGCCCTTGCTTTTGGCATCTTTGTCATGAAATCTTTGCCTATTCCTGTGTCCAGAATGTTATCGCAGAATGTTGTCTTCTAGGATTTTTATAGTGTTGAGTTTTACATGTAAGTCTTTAAACTGTCTTGAGTTGATTTTCGTATATGGTGTAAGGAAGTTGGGTCCAGTTTCCGTCTTCTGCGTATGGCTACCCAGTTATCCCAGCACCATTTATTGAATAGTTTTCCCCATCGCTTGTTTTTGTCAGCTTTATCAAAGATCAGGTGGTTGTAGGTGTGTAACCTTATTTCTTCTGGACTCTCTGCTCTGCTCCATTGGTGTGTTTTTATGCCAGTACTGTGCTGCTTTGGGTACTGTAGCCCTGCAGTGGTTTGAAGTCCGGTAACATGATGCCTCCATCTTTGTTCCTTTTGCCTAGGATTGCCTTGGCCATTCAGGCTCTTTTTTGGTTCCATATGGATTTTAAAAAGTTTTTTTTTTTTTTTTCTAGTTCTGTGAAGAATGCCATGGCAGTTTGATAGGGATTGGATTGAATCTACAAATTGCTTTGGATCATATGGCCATTTTAATGATACTGATTCTTCTTATTCATGGGCATATAATTTCTTTCCATAGAGCAAAACATTTTTAAAGGTCTTTAATTGTGTAATTGTGTTTTAAAGGCTTATTTGAATTCATACTACCATTAGCAATGAAATAGTTGGCTTTACTTGTCCCTTTGCCAATAATGGATATTTTTATTCAATCTTTTCTACCTTGGCAAACAAACTTAAAAAAGCTATCTTTGCTTTAATTAGTATTTGGTATCTTAATGATTACTTCTGTTTCTATCAGTTCTTTTTATAGAAAAGATACTAACTATAATTTATTGCAAACATTTCCTTTCTTTCTTTTTCTTTTTTTTTTGAGACGGAGTTTTACTCTTGTTGCCAAGGCTGGAGTACAATAGCTCTGTCTTTCCTCACTGCAACCACCGCTTCCCAGGTTCAAGAGATTCTCCTGCGTCAGCCTCCTGAGTAGCTGGGATTGCAGGCATGCACCACCACGCCCTGCTAATTTCGTATTTTTAGTAGAGATGGGGGTTTCTCCATGTTGGTCAGGCTGGTCTTGAACTCCTGATCTCAGGTGATCTGCCTGCCTCGGCCTCCCAAAGTGCTGGGATTACAGGCGTGAGCCACTGTGATCGTATGCTAACATTTCTTTCTAAGCCATTTCTCTTTAAATTTTGTTTCCAAATACGTTGTTTTTTTTTTCCTGCTTTCTTCTGTTACTTAAGTTAGGAAAGCACTTCCTCCAAAGGGTTGGTAAATCATTCTAGTTTCTTCTAGGCTATCTGTGGTTTAATTCTTAATACTTTACTTTAGCTCTTATTTGAATGCATAGAATGAGATGAAGCTTTTAAACTCTCTTACTCTACAAATTTGGCAATTCTTTTCCTAGCACCAATTAACAGTTCTCTTTAGCTTGTTTAATGATGCATCCTGTGAACCATATTAAATTCTTAAGTAATGTGTTTCACTGGATCTATTCCTATATATTTTATTAATAAATTTATAATTTAGCATCAAGTCCTTTATTCCTTGTTTCTGGAGAATATCAAACGCATGCCACCTTGTCTGAGGGTAATGAACACAACTGAAAATTATAGTATGTCATCTTGGGCCTGGGATGTATTTAGCAATTGTGTAATCCACTAGTTTTCTAACTTACTGGAGAAAAAGGGAAGAACACTTTGGGGAGGTTGTTTATTTACTGATTTTGGCAACATACTTTCAGGAGTCACCACATATTCTCCTTTTGTTTTGGCGGCATGCGGTAGAGTGAGGTGGGAAGCCATAACTTTCTTAAAGGAATTGTTAGTGGCTTCTTTTTCTCCCTTGAGCTTTAAAAACAGTGACCACGTCCAGCCTTCCCATTTTACAGTTGAAGTAACATCTTCGTTTGACATTCTTATTAATGATAGAGGTTGGTGGAGATTTACTTGCAGGGGATGGGTTTTTTCATAATGGGGAATACTAACAAAATTTAAAATATACACATAGATACAACATATTGCTGTAATATATGTTATATATTTATTCAGGTAGTTTTATGGATTTGCTCAGAGATGCATCAGGTCCTTGGTATAAATGCTGAGTTGTATAAAACAAATGTTTTTATAGTACTTCTCTGCCTCAGTGGTACGGCTTTCTCTCCAGAGTTGATCACTAACTGACATCTTTTTAAAGGAATAGCTGGGTTGAGGTTTGCTTTTCTTGAGAAGGGAAGGGCTGTCTGTCATCTGTTGTCTGGTGTCTAAGAGAGTTGAAGTTTTCTCCCCTTTATACAGGACCCTATTTGAAGGGGATACACACACACACACACACACACACACACACACACACACATATATGTATAGCATGGCGCCGGCCAAGCTTTACCCCCATTATATATATATTATAATATATACTATATAATGTATATTATATACTTTATATACAATATTTTATATATATTATATTATATATATAATATATAGTATAGTATATATATATAATATATATGGTATATTATATATATATATATATATATTAAATACTGGGAGGTTGAAGGGTCTTTTGAGGATGGGACCCTATATGGCTCCCAGTGCTTCACCAAGAATAAGGAAATAAGGAGTGAGGAAAGTTCAGGTAATATGTGGGGAAGGTGATGCCTTACCTAGCACCAGGTTTTCTTAAATATAGCCTGTTGATAAGCCTTAGCTCACCAAGCTAAGTTAGGTTTTTATAATTAGTTATTACCAATTGTATGTATAAACAGTCTTTAGAATATAAGATTACAATTAATGAATTTAACCATTCTTGTCTCACTCTGAATGGACCAAACCAGTATCAGCTAAAGATAAAGTTCAAGTGATGTGAAGAAGAGTTAGCAAATTCACAAAGAATTCTGCATTTACGTATCTGTTTATCTCTATAGTTGCCATGATGTATGTGATTTTCTACAGCTTTCACATTATACACTTTGGTGTCATGTTCAGTGGTGGAATGGGGAAGAGTAAAAATAAAACTAACATTTCCTGAATACAGGGTAAGAATCGTGTGAGGAAGATTCTATTATTAGGTCCATTTTAGAAGTGAGAAAACTGAAGTGTAGAGAAGTTAGATGTGACCTTCCATGAGTTTTATTGAAATAATATAATTTGGCCAGGTGCGGTGGCATATGCCTGTAATACTAGCACTTTGGGAGGCTGAGGTGGGCGGATCACCTAAGGTCAGGAGTTTGAGACCAGCCTGGCCAGCACAATGACACCCTGTCTCTACTAAAAGGACAAAAAAAATTAGCCAGGTGTGGTGGTGCCTGCCTGTAGTACCAGCTACTTGTGGGGCCGAGGCAGGAGAATTGCTTGAATACAGGAGGCAGAGGTTGCAGTGAGGTGAGATCATGCCACTGTACTCCAGCCTGGGCAATAAAGCGAGATTCCATCTTAAAAAAGAAATTAAAAAAAGAAATAAAATTTTAACCTCCTTTAAGAACATATACATGAATATATTCTGCTAATCTTGTATCTTTAAAGAATATTTGACTGGTTTTTGTAATGTCCGTTTTTTTATTTTACAGCTCATAGCTGCTATATTTTAATAACATTTTATTATGTAAAATATCATTTGTCTGTTTCCCCATTCCCCAAAATATTTTGTCATGAAATTTATTTTAAGGCTTTGTTTCTTAGGAGAATGTACTTAAAATGAAGGTAATTTTGGCTTTATGTGCTGAAATGAGAAGATAATAAATGTTTTAGATTGGCTTTACATTTTGTGAGTGTTTCTCTTTGTTTTCCCTTTAAAACTGGGCTGAAACATCAGTTATTCTATGTAGTCGGGCCCAGGGTCAACCTATAAAAGACATATTATCTTATTTGAAGAATTGTTGAAAATAGGTTTTTTTTTTTTTTTTTTTTTTTTTTTTCCAGTGAGATTCAAATATATTCTGTCAATGGTTGACTTGGGGTTGAGAAATGAAAATTTAGAATAATACTTTTAACTGCTAGAGCACTGAAAGAGTTCATTATTTCTTTCTTGCAGAAATGTAGACAACCAGTTTCCTGGGCAAGCTGCTCCACCTGGGTTCCCAGTGTACCCCGCATTTAGCCCACTGCAGATGCTGTGGTGGCAACAGATGTATGCTCATCAGTATTATATGCAGTAGTAAGTTAATCTGAGCTCATTTTTTAATGTATGTTATTTGCTTTATTTTTTTTAATCCTAAGTAAATTGATTTGGGATTTCATTTGCTTATGTATTTAATGTTGTTTGAAATTATCATGAGAAGGAATTCTCAAATATTTTAGCAGATACTTTATTTTAAATTATTTGACCAAAGGGAAAAGCTCACCTCCAGTTCACATGAACTAACCCTGTTCTTGATTCCTCCCTCTCTTCCCTAATTACATTTAGCAGTATTCAGATTCTTTAATATAACATTTTATAAATTCAGGAGGAGAAAACTTAATGTTTTACTGAAAGGCAGCAAATCTACATGAAGAGTTAGTTGAATGAAAAAAGGAATAGAATCATGTCAGGGAGGCCATACCTTATGTAGGACTCAAGAGTGGCTGACATGCTTACTGGACTCTCAGTATTTAGTCCGTTTTGATTCTGGTCAGCATGGGACAGTCCTAGCATTGAGGACAGTTTCTGAGCCTTCATCCTCCTGGACTCATTCTTCTGCATTCATTTACCATTGATTAGTTTCTCTTTACCATTCTCCTCTCCTTGTTTCTGTGGTTCTTTTTGTCTTTTGTATCTTTTTAAAATCTTTCTGGTCACTCTTTTTGTGTCCTTTAATAGCTCATTTTATTAACATTTCTTTCTCAGTTCATCATGTATTTGTTACTATGCACTTCTCAGCACTCATAGTTGGTAGAGAGGACGGGATTTAGTTGTGGGGGGCAGTTCTCTTGGATTTCTTTTTTTTCCATGGCCTTAGTTGTTAGCTCTCTGTGGATGAAACCCAGTTCTTCATCTCCTGTAAGTCATTCTGTGTCTCTGCTTTATTGTTGGAAGATTTCCATAGGGGAATGAGCCTTTACCTCAGATTTCAGCACATCTAAAATTAGATGCCTCTGCTCTTTAAGAGCCTTCTTTTTTCTCACTTCTATGTCAGTGATACTGTTTCTCTTCTTAATTGTTACCCAAGCTCTTAGCCATAAACAGCTTTGATTCTGGCTTCTGCTATCCCTGAAAGCAGTAATTTATAAAGATGAGTTAATAGAGCTTTTGTCCGTCCCATATGCTACCTCCAATGTTTCACCCAGATCTTTTCTCATTCTAGGTCCACTTGACTTCAATAGCTCTTTCTGCTTTTAGTCTTTTTACTATATTTCCTTATACTGCTATGGGTTACATTTCTTTCTTTCTTCCTTTCCTTTTCCTTTCCCTTTTCCCTTTCCCTTTCCCTTTTCCTTTCCTTTCCTTTCCTTTCCTTTCCTTTCCTTTCCTTTCCTTTCCTTTCCTTTCCTTTTCCTCTTTCCTCTTTCCTCTTTCCTCTTTCCTCTTTCCTCTTTCCTTTCCTTTTTCCTTTTTCCTTTCCTTCTGTCTCGCTCTGTCACCTTGAGTGCAGTGGTGCAGTCTTGGCTCACTGCAGCCTTTTCCTCCTGGGTTCAAGCAGTTCTCGTGCCTCAGCCTCCGAGTAGCTGAGATTACAAAAGTGTGCCACCACACCTGGATAATTTTTGTATTTTTAGTAGAGATGGGGGTTTTGCCACATTGGCTAGCCTGATGTTGAACTCTTGATTTCAAGTGATCCATCCACCTGCCTCAGCCATCCAACGTGCTGGGATTACAGGTATGAGCCACACGCCCAGTTTGCCAGGTTGCATTTTATAATACATAATTAAGTCAGTCATTCCCACAGCCACCCAGATAACCTCTGATTCTCTTGCTTACTGTGAAGTCTATATCCTTGTCCTTCCTCCAGATCTTTCCCCGTAAAGCTAAGCTGCTTTACGAACCTCATATCCTAAGGCTCTCTTTCATAAGCCCTTGGTTCCAGGCAGGATGCTTGTACCTTACATGTTGCTATGGTAATGGTTATCATTTGAGTGAGTGCTTTGTGCTCAGTACTCTGCTGGATGCTGTACCCCACCTTGTCTCTTTTGTGAACCTCACAAGAACTGTGTAAGATATGGGGTGCTTATTATGCTTGCTGCTAAATAATATACTCTGTATACATCATTTAACTTTGGAGCCTCAGATTCTCCTCTTTAATATAAAGTAACTCACCTGTGTATCAGAATACCCGTGAAGTAGGAAGTGTGTTTTCTAAACTAAAAAGCCCTGTACAGATAAAAGTTACTATCATACTGGCTTAAATAGGGTTTTGTAGCCTGGGAACCATTTATTTAACTTTCCTTTGCTATCCTGACTGTTAACTTATTGTAGAAAAATTTACAAACATAACAGGGTAGAGTAGTAAAAGGAGTCCATGTGTGCCCATCACCCGGCTCTGACATTTATCAGTGCATGTCAGTCTTATTTTACAACTCCCCCCTTCTGTTGGATAATTTAAAGCAAATCTAAGATTTATTATCACTTCACTGGGAAATTTATTCTTTACTGGGAAAATTTAAGCAATCAAATTATAAGCAAACCTCAGGATCACAATTCTTTCTAACTTGGCAAGAACCAGTGGTCTCCAGTTGGAGTTCTTTCAAATCAGTATTGGGGTGAAAGAGTTGTTATCTGAGATGTAGTTAGAATTTTAGAATACTAATACAAATCATTTGTCATTGACAGTAGACACATAGGATAATAACAGTATATATTTCTAGACAAGTCTTTCAGAACATGGGGCTGACAAGTAGGTGATGGGCTTGAGAATTTTCGTCCCATGTAGAACAACAAAAGGGGTCATTCATGAAAAGGTTTGGACATCGCATTAGCTTATAAGGTAATTGATTGAAAGAGAGACAAGAGTGGTTAACATGGCTGCTCTCATGTCTTCGCCTTTCCCCTGTCATCTTACACTACCAGACTGAGAGAACATCCTTTCCTGTGTGACGTCTACCATCAGTCTTGGCTCCACTTTTCACTGGAATTTGCACTTACCTAAGAAATGTGGTGCAGGAGTTGGGATATTCCATATTAGGTTTATGAAAAATACATATAGCTTCCCAAGAAGTTTAAAAAATATGGTATGGTAAAGTTTTTTTTTCTTTTTAATATTTATTTTGGTGACTATTTCAGTCAAGCTGCAGTTTCAGCTCAGGCCACAACCCAGCCAACTGCTTCACAGCCTCTAAATTTGGCACATGTTCCTGGAGAAGAACCCCCAGCAGCTCCAAACCTAGTGGCCCAAGAAAATCAACCCATGAATGAGAATGTTCAAATGAATGCACAGGGAGGCCCAGTACTAAATGAAGAAGACTTCAATCGAGACTGGCTAGACTGGATGTACACGTTCTCACGAGCTGCGATTCTCCTTAGCATTGTATACTTCTATTCTTCTTTTAGTCGGTTTATCATGGTAATGGGAGCCATGCTACTGGTTTATTTGTGAGTGATGTTTATTAACTTTTTGTGGTTTCTTTTAATTTCTGAAACTGTTCAGCACAGAATCTGGTCTGTTGTGAATTTTGAGTGAAGGAATATGAATGCTGGGCTTTAGCTATCCGGCGTGTTTTTGATACCAAAAGTAAGGGCAGGTTTTGTTGAGTGAGAATGTTTATCATAATTATTTAGAAGCAGAATTTTTGTTTACTGTATTTTATAAAAATTGTTCATTCAGTGAGACATACTCTATCCATTAGTTAGAATTTAAGAAGTATATGATGCACTCCTGTGTAAGGTCACCCTCTTTGATTAATCAGAATTGCCAACAGTAAGCCCTATAGGTATAAACCAGATTTTTTTTCGTAGGTAGACTGTTTTTCCCCTGCTCCCTTCTCTCCAAGGGGCAAACAAATATCTAAGTTGTATTTCATTTTGAAAAATACCAGAAAAGGTTTATGATTCCTGATATGTCTTAATAACTAGCATAGAGCCAATGAAGTCCATGATAGACTTAGAGATTTGGGTTGGTTTTGTTTTGCTGTCATTGCTTTGACAAGGGTATTTCCCTGTCCTGAAGTGGGAGATTTGGTCTTTTTATTTATTATAGTTCTAATCATTTTTCTCTTATAGGACACTAATGACATTTTATAGTATTACAAATAAAAAGAACTGTGACTTATTTTATTTTCTCTTTATTTTACTGAACAGACACCAAGCTGGTTGGATCCCTTTTAGGCAAGAAGGAGGTCATCAGCAGGCTCCCAACAATAATCCCGAAGTTAACAATGACGGGCAAAATGCAAACAACTTGGAGCTTGAAGAAATGGTGTGTGATTGAAGCTTGTGTATTATTTTAGATACGGAGATTTTCCCAACACTGTGTGGCACCAGCATGGTGAAGGAATATCGGACGTTCCATAAGTATTTGTGAAATGGCACATCGAAGCAAGCTGACATATAAATTGTGGTGGTTTCATCTGGGATAACTTAGAATGCAATACCGAATCAGTCATATGTTAGAACTAAATAGGAAGAACTAACATTATTTTTCCTGAAAATAGCATAGAAATAAAATTATACACATGGTGAACATTTATTTTATTGCCCTGGCAGTTGTCCCCTTTAAACTGGAACGCTTGAGGAATTTATCAGTTTTGGCCTTAAAGATTTCCAATGACCACATGTATAGCACTTCATATTTCTTTGTTCTACAAAGAAGAATTTAACTCTCTTCTATCATGAACTAATACTTGTTCACATTATGTTTCTTGTTTTGCTTGAAAGGAGCGTCTTATGGATGACGGGCTTGAAGATGAAAGTGGAGAAGATGCAGGTGAAGATGCCAGTGCACTGCAGAGGCCTGGATTAATGGCTTCAGCCTGGTCTTTCATCACCTCCTTCTTTACTTCACTAATACCAGAGGGGCCTCCCCAGGTTGCCAATTGACCTGAAAAACTGTGCCAGCTACAAGAGGGTTTGACTTTAGGAAAGAGGTTTAAATAACAGTGCAATTTCAAAAAAATTTGTAACTTTCTTTTGATCATCATGTACAGAGGTGTTTCTTTCTTTAGGCTTCTCATGCATATGAATATTTTAAGCACAAATGGACTTCTAAATGTTTGATTTTTTTTAAAGATCCTAACAGAACATAGTGTAACAATATTGGTCTTCCAGGTGTTATTCATTTCAATTATGTGTAGTATATCAAGACAGACTTATTTTTGTGTCTTATTCTTTAAAGAGCTGCTTTATTGGCTGGGTGCCATGGCTCACGTCTGTAATCCCAGCACTTTGGGAGGCTGAGGTGGGTGGATCATCTGAGGTCAGGAGTTTGAGACCAGCCTGACAAACATGGTGAAACCCCGTCTCTACTAAAAATACAAAAAAATTAGCTGGCTGTGGTGGCACACACCTGTAATCCCAGCCACTCAGGAGGCTGAGGCAGGAGAATTGCTTGAATCCTGGAGGCAGAGGTTGCAGTGAGCCAAGATTGGGCCATTGTACTCCAGCCTGGGCAACAAAGTGAGATTCAGTCTCAAAAACAAAAAAAGAGCTGCTTCACCTATAAATGTCTATAGCTAGTAGCCCAGCCCTTTAATGTTTAATTTGAATAAATATATCTATTTTCTGTGAATTATCTTGAAAGTTTTAAACAGAATGACCTCATAGTTTTTAATAAAGGATATTATTTACCTAAAATGTGCTAGTAGCATCTTGCCCAGCCATAAAGCAATAAACTTCTCAATAATCTTAATTTTGACATTTGAATAAGTAATGGAAACTTTCTATTTTAAGGGCATGTATCCCATGAATTGGAATCAGTACCTTAACAGAAAAAGGCAGCTCTTCAATGGAATTAACGTGATATAAAATGTTTGATACAGGCAGTACTTTTATAAAATAAGATATGCTGGAAATCGCTCCCTGTAATTTTTTAAATAAAAAGTCAATTATGGTAAACATTCTTATGGGATATTTGTTCAAACTCCTCCCCTATTACATGCAAAAATTTTTGTGAATTTTAGTAGTTGTTTGGAAGGGTTGAAGTCTTAAAGGTCATTTACACCTCTTTCCACTCCAGATGGGTGTCTCCTAGTCAGATTGTCTGAAACCTCAGTAATTGATTTAAAAATCCCTGTGCAAGCCAATTTAATATGTCATAAGAAGGCAGTAAGTTTCTTATTAGATGGCTAAGTAAAACAAATATGGGTGGCAGAACTTTATCTCACATGAAATGCCCTATTAAATTATGAGAGTGGTACTGGCCCAGGAGTCTATGATTAGATAACATGACAGAGTAGAAGATTAAGAAAACATCCATAAATTGTTTTCTGATTTGTTTACTTATCATGATAAAAGTGACATTTTCAAGGGATGACTGGTTAGTTAACCCTTTGAGAAGTAAAGTTAGATTTCTATTTGTAAATGTCAAGAGGTCATGACTGAATATGAACAATCAAATCGTGGGATTAATAAGAATATATAGGTGAATATTTATATAACATTGGAATGAGAGAATGGCAGAATCTTTAAAGATGGTTAAGTATATACTGTTTTGACATAAGTAATTTAAAGGCAAATAATTAGGAGAAAAAAGATAGAAAAAGTGATAAATGAAGTCTTAAATTCAGTCCAGTAAAAAAAAAATTTGTATCCAGCAAGAAAACAATCACTGTAATAGGAAATGGGTAATAAATATGAAAAAAAGTAGTATCTAGTAGTTAAAACTACCAGATTCATAAGATGAAATTCAGTGTTGGTGAAACTGGGGGGGAATGTAAAATAGAATATAGCTTATTCAGCAAGTATCAGGTTTTCGAATTGTGCAATCATTCCCAGAGTACAGATGAGACTAATGAACATGGCTTACAAAAGTCTCGAAAGGTCGTGCCCTTGCTTCCCGTCAGTTTGAGCTCCCCTTAATTCCTGTTTTAGCTAGGCTGCTCTTCCAGCCCCAGAACTTTTAAAATTGCTGTTCTTTTGCTGCAAATGTACACAGTTTCTTTTCCTTCTTTGCCTCACTAACACTGATCACTCACCAGATTTCGGCCTAAGTGCCCATTCTTTGGGAGGCTTTTCCTTGGAAGTACCGTGTATTACTTTGCCTTTGACACCGTTGCAATTTACATTGACCTCCTTGTTTCTCTCACCATATAGAATGGATGAGGTTTGGGAGAACCTGGAATTTAGTTCAGTCCTGGATAAGTGCCAGCAGAAGTTTGAAAGGATGTCATGCATGTGTGAGATTCAGCTTTCCAGATAATCATTGCATTGTTGGCAATTAGGAAACAAATCAGAATTGGCAGATGTTCAGCAGTGACCTATGGCACATTTGAACAGTTTGGGTCCATGGTTAGGGATGGCTTGTTTCAAGACTGATACAATTATTGCATCCAGAAGAGGGGTCTGGATTTTAACCTGGGAGCTAAATAAATAAACTATCAAAGCTGGCAGAAATGCTCCGTGGATCAGAGCCCAATGCAGGTACAGGGTGGGGAGACAATGCAGAGATAATTATGAGACTGATCAATTTTATTTCTTTTGGGAGCTGGAGAGTAGAGAATTGGAGCTGTAGAATTCAGTGGGAGTGGGCAGCATTGTGGGAACACCCCTCTGGAGGAAATGAGCAGGGTCCCTGTCTCCTAGCAACAGGCTGGGGCCTAAGGAGAAAGATCCTGGTTATAAACTCCTGTGAAGGGTTCTAAGAACACTGGAATGCATGAGCCACTGTTAATTATTTTTCCTACATTGTTAATTCCTTTGTGTTAACCTCACATTCAGTAAGTCTTTTTCAAAAACTAGAGCCTACTGTCAGCTGTGTTTTGGATGATTTAGGGGCTGTGTCCATACTGGGGCCAGATGGTACCTTGGTGGCTGAGGTAATCCGGACACTGGTCTCAAGGCCAGATGTTGACTAGTAACAATCAGGATATATGTTTCTGGAATATAAACACTCTTAGGACTTCCTACATTGCTATACAATACCCTAAAGGCTAGATCTTCAGTGAGAGGGTCAGATCCTGTTAGGTCGGTAACAGAGAAGGGTGATCTGGAGGGCTGGAGAATTGGAGACATTCATATCATACTTTGGTGACCTAATTAGATGCTATAGCTTACCAGTATTCTAACTAGTTTCTCTGGCTCTTTGTACCATCACTGTTGGAATAAGCCTTTGCAAATTACTGGGAGGAAAGGTCATATTTGGAGTCCCAAATGTACAGTCCCAGTGGCAGTTTTGCTGTTGAAATAAGGCTTTGTAAATTAGTGGGAGGAAAGGTCATATTTGGAGCCTCAAATGTCTAGTCCCAGTGTCTGTTTTGAATGACTGTCCCTCACTGTTGAATGACTATAATGTGATACATCGGCTTCTTTGAAGTCTGGTGTAAGTCATACCCTATGGCCTATGGTGTCTGGAATGGTGTTGCTGGATGTGCAGGACTGCCAGGCTCTGGCATGTGGTGTTCCCATCCACTAGATCCTTCCTGGGAGGCCCAGTTTGGCCAGCTGGCTCACATCTGCGGGTGGTATTGCTAGCGTTGCACATTGGAACTGCAATCTAGGAAAGTGATAGAAACCTACCTCGCGGTGAGTACAAAGGATGTTTGTTGTATTTTATACACATTAATATTTTGGATGTTTCAGTAGTTAACCATTTTAAAACAAAGCAAAATCAATGATAATGCTTCTTGAATATGTTGCAAACAATGCAAGCCTTTTATTAAAAATTACTATGGAATATTCAAAAGGAAGGTTTTTTCTTACAGAGAACAGAGCATAATTACTCAGCGTTCCTGTTTCAAAGCCTCTAGGGCCCTTTTACTGTCCAGAATTCTTAGTAAGTGGAAAACATTTCCCAAGCATAATGAAGTCTCAGCCCTGATATGGCAGGACAGCAAAAGACCTGTCTTTTTCCAGAGCAAACCTGAGAGGTTGCACCTGTCCTTCCATTACCCTTTGGGGGTAAACCCTGGAGCCCTAGCTTAGCGGACCGATTTCATGGGCCTTCTTGACAAAGCTGACTTTCTTGATCCTCCTGCTAAATTCTGACCTTTCCTCCAATTGACATCTTTCCAAAATGAGCATACCAACACCTGCACAAACCATGTCATGTGATGCAGTAAGCTATTTCATCCAAGTGTTCCAAAGCCGTAGGATGAGCAAGTGGGAAAAACAGACCTGCATAGGGTCTTTCCCAATTAGTTACTCTTTCACAGAGGATGTATGGGAGACAGACTGCTATTGTGCCATCCTTTCCATTACATAGTGATAACAGCTGTCACTGGAATGCTTTAAAACTTGGTATTATATACGTTTAAGTATTTGCTGTATTCCCGGCTCTGTGCTGAATGCTATGCCTGCATCTTAAAAAATCCTTAAAATAAATCAAGGCAGGTACCACTGTTCCTTCTGTTTTCCAGAGGGGGACACTAAGACTTTAAGAAGTTAAATAGCTCACCTAAAGACACACAGCTAGTCACAATGGTGACTTAAAGCCAAGTCTACTCTACTCTAGACCGTGGACTCCAAAATTAATTATGCAGATAAGGAATGTGGAGAGTTCAGCCTTGAACAAAGGGAGATGAGCTTGTTTTGTACCAAGCCTTCTGCTGAGGGAAAGAAAAACCTGTCTATTCAGGCATCAGAGGCCTATTGAGAAAGCAAGGGCTAATATTCTGAGAGGTAAGACCTACAGTTGATACTATTCATTTCCCCCTCAAGGGACCTGCTAATTCAAGGGCAGGGGCTGAGAAACTGAGCAGAAGTTTTAGAAGACTAATGGAGAACAAAAATTAGAGTTGGGGATCCGAGTAGAAGTGGCCCTGGAAAACACCCCAAAGAGCTTCTCTTTGATTAAAGGTGAACCGGTACGGGCCTGTCCTCACAAGGACCGAAGGCCAGCCTTAGAGCTAGTGGATGGCCAGAAGCAAAAAGCGCCTCTGAGGGAGGAGGACATGGTCTGATTTCTCAGATTTTCTCTATTAATTGTTGTCAGATCCCGTTTAAAAATCAGGAATGCAAAGACACAGTTTGACTAACATTGAGGAAGTGCACAATACAAACAGACCTCCAGGAAATTCAGATGGTTCACATTATCTGACAGGTACCTTACAGTAACTGATTCAAGTGTTCATGAGTTAAATGACCAAATGGATCAACTTCAGGAGAGAACTGGAAAGTAATATAACAGTTTAAGAAATCAGTAGATGGCTCTGATAGACACAACTTAAGAGACAGGTAATTAAATGAAAGATAAGAAAATACCCAGACTGGTGCTGGGGTAAATAGGGCAGACAACTATTCAGAGTCAAGGAGGTTCCCAAATTGATGAAAGACATTAAGCCACATAAGTCAGAAATGCTGTTGACCTCTAAGCATGATAAGTTACAAAGAAAACTATACCTAATTATAGTAAAACTGAAAAACAAAGACTAATTTTAAAAGCCAGAGGAAAAATATATGTTACTATCAAAGGAGCAGCAGCAAGTCTTGATAGGGGAATTGCAGCAGAAGTAACGATAGAGAAAAATGGAATGGTGTCTTTGAAGTGTGAGGTTGGCTGAGAGAAAGGAGAATAGACCCGAAGTCAGGCAAGCAAGTTTCATCAACCTGCTGGGCTGCTCCGTAACAATCAGAGGAGGCAGACCCGAGCTTACAAAACGAGGGATTTATATGGGGTGAGAGGGGCATAAGGGAGTTTCAGGGCTGAGGTAATCTATCTACTGGTAACAGGCACAGAAATAGTTTGTCAACTTGTAACAGACCTACAATGCATCTGTGACTTTTGTGGTGGCAATTAACAAAAGAAATCAGGATTTTTTTACAGATAACCTGTCAAACAGGAATTTAAAAGAATGGATAACAAACATTTATTTTCTCTGTCCTCCCTCGAGCTGCCGGGATGGCTGTAATCAGGCTTTGCTTAATTGTAGCACGCCTGGCAGCCTTAATGTGGCACCCAG